TAAGTCAATGCTAAATTAAAAATAATTATTATTCTTTTTGTAAAGCTTTTGCAAAATATTTTTGTTTTTTTAAACTAATGCACCAATAGTCCACTAATTTAGTAAAGTCTTTTTCTTTTTTTCCGGTTTTTACAAAAATCAATTCAGTTTTTACCAAAAAAAAAGAAATTTTTTTAAAAAAAATTTTAAGCATTTTTTTTTGTAAAAGCTGATTTTTTTTTTTGTAAAAACAGAAAAAAAAAATTAATAAAATATTTTTGTTTTTTAAAACTGAAAAAAATATTTTACACAATATTTTCGTTTTTTTAAAAATATTTTTTTTCATTGTTTTTTATAGCATTTCGTTTTATTTTCGTTTTCTAGTTTTTTTTTTAAAAGGAAAAATATTTTCGTATTTTTTAAAAAAAAACTGAAAAAAATGAAGAAAATATTTTTCAAAAAACGAAAATATTTTTTTCAGTTTTAAAAACCAAAAATATTTTATTAAAAACATTTTTTTCTGTTTTTACAATTTTTTTTCCAGTTTTTAGAAGAAAAAACTGAAAAAAATGAAAAAAATATTTTTTGGTAAAAACTGAACAAAAAAGAAGAAGAAGACTTTACTAAATTAGTGGACTACTGGTGCATTAGTTTAAAAAAATGAAAATATTTTGTGAAATATTTTTTTTAAGTTTTATAAAAAGAATAATAATTATTTTTAATTCAGCATTGACCTAACGGTCAAAGGTCATAAGTCAACCAAAAAGGTTGATGGAGGGGTATTTTTAGCCCAATAGGTGGATGAAGGATATTTTTAAACCTTTTCCAATAGGTTAGTAGCATTTTGAACCATTTTTCGTTTAATTAAAGCCGTGTATGAGAAAAAAGAACAATTCAGTATAAAGAAAAACTAAATGTATTGAATCTCTCAAATTACATGTAATCTTTAATTAAAGTGGATTTTATAAGATTGAAAATAAGATTAGTAACTTGCTAGAACAATAATGATGACCTTATAGTTTAAAAAAATTTATACTATAAGTGTAACTTTTTATGGAGAAATTTATAATGTTCTGTAGGTATATATAAGTCAAACTCAATTTTTCATGTCATATTTATGAAAAATTGGTTAAAATTTGCCCTGACAATGATCCTAAGAGGATCTCCAACCTTAAGCACTATTTTCTATACAAAAATGATGTAAACACCATATGGTGAAAATTAACTTCAACCCAGTATATTATTTTTTACGCCAAGAAGAATATTCCTTTTATATTCCTTTCCCTTTTCTATATTATTTTTTTATTTAATATTTATTTTATGTCATTTAGTGAACGTTGTGTTATTTTTAACAATATATTATATTTTATATTTGCACTTTTATTTTCACGGTGGTTATATTTTTTTTTATACAGTTATAACTTATAACAAAATTAACTTACAATTTTATATAAAAATAATATATAAGAAAATTAATTTATAAAAGTTACACACCAAAATTAAGATGTGAAATTAATTTTATAAAGATATTATATTAAAAATAATTAGGTATATTAGGAACCTAAATGAAAAAAGTAAAATTTATAATATGTTTAAATTAAAAGTTTAATATAATAAAAAATAATAATATAATATGATGAATAATAATGGTGGTGATGAATAGTGTTACACTAAATTTAGTGTAACACTAACACTATTCACACACTAAAATGGTGTTTGATTGGAGTATCAAAACACCAAATATTACACGAAATACAATTTGGTTTAATATTTTAGATAACGTTGGAGGTGGTGTAATAGCAGGAAAAATTAATCCATCTACGATCAAATGAGCTTTAACCGATCAAATGGTCCCTTAAGTCATGGGTGTAGTTTCTTTTTCCTTCATATATAAATTGCATATATATATATATATATGAACGTGCGTTGCACTTTAATAATGGCGCATGATAATTTAAACATTTATTTATATGAAGGAACAATACAATTTAATTAATGAAAGAATTTTATGTATAATAATACAACAATCATCTAAATACCGAAAAATATTATTACATTAGCATAATAAATGAATTTAAAATAAAAAGACACCATCAAAACTTACACAAATGATCAATTTTGTCATGTTAGTTAGATAATTATGTATTATAGTTTAAGATAATTTAATGTAATGGTATCTTAACGAACACTTCTTTGTGGACAATATTTTTTTGTGTATGTTTCCTCCTAATGCTTTGGTTGCTCCGCCTTAACCAGAACTCTTGTTGTCGATCTTGATACCCCTCTTGAAAGTGCAACATACAATTGTTCGTGCAAGAAAACATATTGCGGTAAATATAGTCCAATATTTAGGATGTTTGTCCTTGTGCTTTATTTATTATATTTGCAAATATAAACATACTAAAAATTATTTTCACACAAATTTAAAAGGATACTCCTTAGTTTCGAAAGACGAAAGTTGAATTCAGGGATAAGAATATACTTAGAAGCACTTGACCAGTATCATAATTTTTGCATGTATGACGTTATTGTCAAAACTTCTATATACCATCCGTGTGCTATCACGTAAGCTATTCGGCATATCTAAGTTTTTCAGTAGCATGACATTCATATTTTTCTTCAAAATCAACCAACATACAATGGAAGATCAATTTTAACTTAGATATGTTAGTGTCACACACACACACACACACACACACACACACACACATATATATATATATAGAAATAATAAACTTCACAACAAACATGTATGGTAGAAGGCCATTTGGTATTAAAGTATTTAAGTATTCTTCTTGGTAGTAATTATTGGTATCATTTTCTGCTGAGTCAAAAACAAAAAAATATTTTATTTTTAATATAAAATATTGCAATCAACCTTTTATTTAGTTGATCAACAAATTCATTTATGCTAGCTAGATATCTTTTTAAATCTATCATGTATTTTTTTGCGTTACAAATATTCCTCTTATTAAATACACCACTATTACCATTAGAATTGATAACTAAGTGTTCAGGAAGAACCAAAAGCATCTTTTATTGGATGCTCTTCTTTGTTTCCGACACGAAGCAAGAAGACACTGAATACTGGATCTGTTCTTACTTTATATTTGATAAAAAAAATATTATTTGAGTAGAAAATCAGTTCAAATATAATATAAAAATATATTATCATGGGGATATTTTTTTCTCAATTTCAACTCTTTATGTAGTCTATTTAACATTACTTTTATTTTTTCCTTGTATTGGACATTATGGAGCAGTAATGCCAATATGGAGGATTCTTCTAAAATTAGTTATTAAACCTTCATGCATATTTTTTAAAAATAATAAGTTAATAGGCAAAATTTTATTAATTTAAAATATTAAATATTAAAAAAATTAACATAAAAGATATTATAGTTAAAAAGGGTTCAAATTAAATAAAAAAGGAACGTATTAGATACCTTTCGAAATTTACATAAGGCGATTTCCATACTTATATTAAGTGGAATTGTATGATTAAGACATACAAGTTATTGTTTTAAGTGAGCTAGGCATTAAAGAAACAATAATAATAAACACTAGAAAAGAATAACTTTAGACACTAATAAAGAAAGTTTTATCGATAAGCCAATTCGATTACAAACTCTACATAAGAGAATATAAGCATACACTTTATACTAATAGGATTTCTAAAGGTAATCATGTAGTATTCCTAACGTGTAGTATTATGTCCTAAAATTAATTGGATTATAAGGCTAATATCTAAAATACCGATTATGTCCTTTTATTATGAGTTATTATGCTTAATATTATAAGGTTATTTTTGTAAACCGATATTGTATTCATGCTTTTATAATAATATATATATATATAGTCCCTAAAGTTTACAAGTTTGAGCACTTTTAGTCCACCTTAACCGAATCAAAAAGTTCTACAAAAAAATTAATGGAACACCACGTTAAACATGATAAACAACTACATTGCTATTGATCTTTAACGGAAGAGTTAGTCTTCAATTAAGGAACTTCTAACAACTACATTGCTATTGATCTTTAACGGAAAGAGCTAGTCTTCAACTAAGGAACTTCTATTGTCATCGCTTATAAAGTATTCATCATTCTTTATTTTCCACATCATATTTCAAAAAGACATTTCTGAAAATTTGAAGAACACATTCTTATATATTCGATTAAACATCCATAGTTTATGGAACTTCACGATTGAATGGAGAAAATGGAGTAGCAGAGGAGCTCTCAAAGTCATTGTTACCACCTTTGCCGTAGCCACCTCGTCCTACTTTAATTCCCCCGGCGAAATCATCCCCTAATTTTTATACAATAAAATATTCTTGAATTATTGATCAATTAGAAATTTTTGAGATTAGATATAACCCTTTGGATGAAATGTTTTGCCAAATTTCTTTTGGTGTTTGAGAGTATGGCTACCATGATATGATTGTTAACTTTATAGAGATTAAAAACATAAAATATTGATTAAAAGAATATTGGAGATAAAAAAGAAAGGTTAGACTAAACGAGCCTGAATTGAGATAATAATAAGCAACCAAGATCATGTATATATATTAGAAGAGCAAGATTTATTCATAGGAGCCTAAATTTACAATCTCTGTGTGAATTTGAAAGAAAAATAAATTAAAAACAACAAACAAAATGAAGATTCAAGGTCCTCATAACAAATAAAAACTAAATTATCACACCGTTTAAAAGTCACATTTCACCAAAGATTGACATCAAAAGATGGCTGGGGAGAGGGAGTGACAAGTTAAGCCAAACCAATTTGTATTTAATTGGAGTCTAAAGCTATAGAAGACCGTCAATTCTTAATGGAAGCTATGTGGTTATGTTAGAGTGGACCATAAGTGCTCACATTTGCATATATAAAGGGACTGTTATTGCTCAGTGTTATATGAGGAGGATAGAAATAAAGCGACCAAAATTTTAAGGGTCAATTTGAGTTAAAAACACACATTAAAAAACTAGAAAATATCTTCCTTTACAAAGTACTACACAAGTTTTAATAGTACAACGCTTATTTCCAGATAGGCATAAAAAAACCCTAATCTGAGAAAGTTCGCTAAGGTTTCTGTCAAAACCTAACCAGCACTTCTTCACCGGCGGAACAACGAGCCTTCGGCCGTCCGTCAGAGAACGTCACCTCAAATGGACTTCGATGAGTACGATTATCTGGAGAAGACTGTAGAAGAGCCCAACGGCGGTCCTTCTACAAAGAGCAAAGACAACAACAACAGCAGCGCCGAGAAGGAGAAGAGCGAGAAAGCCTATCGCCGAAGGGAGAGAGACGGGAGCGAGGAATACGCCGCCGAAGACGACAATAGAGATCGCCGGAGCAGCAAAAGGTCTCGCGGCGACGGCGAAAAGGATAAGGAGAGAGATAAAGATAGAGATAGGGAAAGGGAAAGGTCGTCGAGGCATCGGAGCAGGGAGCGAGAATCGGAGAGAGACAGAGAGAGAAGCTCAAAGGACCGAGACCGCGAACGTGACAGAGAGAAGAGGGAGAAGGAGAAGGAGAAGGAGAAGGAGAAAGAGAGGGAGAAGGAACGAGAGAGGGAGAGGAAGAGTAGAGATCGGGATAGGGAGAGAGATAAGGAACGGGAGAAGGAGAAGGATAGAGAGAGGGAGAGGTCAAGGAGGAGCCGGAGTCGCTCCAGGATTGAACGAGAGCGAGAGAAGGAGCTGTCAAGAGACGTCGAGCGTGAACGTGACTTTGAATCACGAGACAGCAGGTGACACTCTTTGCATTTATCTTATGTTAATGCATATCAATTTTTTTCAGTTTATTACAAAAGGATTAGTGTTTGTTGATAGTAATTATCAGTTCAAGTTGTAGTGTTTGGAGAATACTTTCTGATGTACATCAATGTGGCTATCAGCTACAACTATATAGCCGTTAATGTAGTGACACAGTATTTGCATCTTATCTTCTTAATTTTTCAATTTGACTTTGTAGAATTGCTAGGTGCCACTATTTATCTTTTGTCCTAGTTATTGATGTCTTTTGGTTCCTTTCAACGTCACCAGACACGTCCTTGATAAAAAAATTTAGGCTTGTCTGTTGACTACTGTTGTGACCTAAAAAACTGAAAAATCAGGTTATGGCTCAGTTTAACTATGTGTTTGAACACGCTCTGCTGAGTGTTTTTGAGTTCTAGTGGATTCAAACGGAAGAGACTTTTTGAAATAGTCTAAATGCGTAAAAGAGTGTGAGTTTATCCATATAGGATGTAATATTCTGACTTGGGTTGAAATCGTAGATGGATTATTTGCACATCTTAATGGGCTAACAATGCGGAAACCCTTCAAGGCTTGATTGAAGAAGTGGCTTATTCCCACATGTATTGAGTTTGATAAGGTCTGTTAAGTTCCTTTTTGGCCTTTGAGATTATCACTCACTCTTGAATCCTTCCAATGTTTTTGCATTGATGGATTTAAGGTTATTTTTTCTTACATCTGTGAGATGTTGACAAATGATGTATTGGATTTCTAGGTTGGCAACGCATATGGTGTGAGGCTGTATCAGTTTTCAACCTTTTCTTCTGTATCGAGACGAAAATGCATTAACTCTTTATGTGATTGTTTTTGTGAAAGCAGGGAAAAGTCTCAAAATTTTGGTGCTGGACAGCGAATAATGTCACAACACCTACTGCATTCATGTTCTTAACTTGAAGTTTATACTTGGAGATGCTTCAAAAGTTCAAATTATCTTTCTAGAATATGCTCCATTTGTACTTGTTTTCTTTTTAAATGGGAATGATGTGTGTCACTGGAGGTTAGAATTCTAGTTGCTTCTGTTTAGATATAAAGATAAAACTCGTTTTGGGTCCTGGAGCATTTATAGGGAGAGGCAATGTTATATTCAGATAAACAAGTAGACAAATGAAGTTAGCATTTTCAACTAGCCTGTCCAAAAACTTATAGGAGCTTTCTGACTTTTATCCGCATTTTTCTTGAAAGGGCTTGCCTTGATGATCTTTCCTGCTGCAGGAGCTACTCTATCTAATCGATAAAGATGAATCATTTTGCACAGCGAGGGAGATTTTAGAGGATGATGATTCATCATGTCCTAATATAATTTGTTGCATGTTCATGTATTTATGCAAGTTTGGTTAAACTTGGTTTATAGTAGTTGATTGTGTTCAAATGTAGCAGGTGCAATAATGTAAATGAAAATCCTCTCCCTTCCACATGTAACTTAAGATTTATAAACAGAGCCTCATACTTTTCTTTACTATCCTTGAAATTAATGCGATATAAAGGTTGGTTTGCTTCAATATGTTCTGTGGATTGTGAAATAGGGAAGCGAGGGTCTGCACTAACTCTCTAGCCGGTTAACGAGGTCACGTTTAGATACTTTTTTGCTATGATCTTGTGCCATACATATTCTCATTATGGTCTGAGTCATTTATACAGGAGATTCAAGGAGAAGAAAGAAAAAATTGAACCAGAAGCTGATCCAGAAAGGGACCAGAGAACTGTTTTTGCTTACCAGGTAGGTTCGATGTCTTTGTTTCTGCCTTGTTTATCGCCATACGTGAGCATTTCACACTAGGTGATTTAGATGATCAATAGGTTCATTCGCTGATTTATTTGGTCTGAACTTTTTATAGATGCCCCTGAAGGCAACTGAAAGGGATGTGTATGAGTTCTTCTCACAAGCAGGAAAGGTTAGTTCATTTGGTCCGCCTTTTGCTTCATGCTACATAAACTATGCTTCTGGACAACTTCTGGTTTTTATTATCAATGTGTGCTGGTTTACATTTGTCTTAGAATTTCATTTTCTTGTGGTCCTCTAGAATTGATATGATACTTAATGTTTAGGAGCAAAAAATTGATTTGTGTTGTTCGCTTGACCCTACTTCCGTATACTATTAATGCATGCTGTATGCTTCTCCTTGCTGTTGCAGTAACTGCTTCTCTGCCTTCTGTATCAGGTAGCTTAATTACTTTCTCATGTCTCAAGATTCTATACTTGATTGGATGCACAATGTAGTCTGATCAGGTTATAACTGATGATTTTATGCATGACCTATTGCAGGTTTTGTGGTGTTTATAGTATGAGTACCAAAAGGGCCACTAAATTCAATTTATCTATTTCTTTTGACATTCATTTCTACATTTCTAGGTGAGGGATGTGCGGTTAATCATGGACCGGAATTCAAGGCGATCTAAAGGAGTTGGGTATGTCTTTAATCAAATTCTTTACCCTGCAAATTTTGCGTGTTACTCCCTCCATTTCATTTTAAATGAGGTACTTTCCTTTTTAGTTTGTTCCAAAATAAAAATCACATTTCTAAATTTGAAAATAATTCAACTTTAAACTCTTCCTTTTACCCTTTTTGCCCTTAATGAGAAGCTTTTATAGCCATACAAATGGCATGGCCCCACAAACTTTTTACCCCTTAAGCTTTTAAGACAACAACTTTCAAAAGTCTTCTTTTTTTTTTCTTAAACTCCGTGCCGAGTCAAACTACCTCAAACAATATGAAACGGAGGGAGTATTTCTTTTCTTTTTTCTTTCTTAAGTAAATGTGCATCTTGCTTCTGCTTTGTACTCCTAAAGTCTCAAGGATTACGATAGTGCCAATTCCGTTTTGAATGTTAACCATGTGATGTAGCATTGGGGCATACTACGCCTCTTAATTCAAACTAAAGTGTTGTCTATCTACCATGGTGGTTAATAAAGTTGCTGCTTTGAAGCCAGACTGTATTCTTGATTTGTTCCTTTGACTTCTGTGTGGTCTCTGTTACTCTCAGATGGTAGAAAAACTGTGTTTCTCATATAGGTTTTTGCTTTTTTCTTTGTTTTTAAAGATTTCCCTTTTGGTTTGTTCTATGATTTCTGGTGGCCAACACATTGCCAGTCCCAAGTCCGGCAAGAGAGGAAGGTTGTTGATTTGGAATAAAATAGGTCCAAGCATAACGAAATGGAAAATGGGGATTTATGCCGATTCAAGTTGGGGATTGAGCCGTTGTTGTTAACATGCATTTCTGACTTCCCTTAAAATCATTATAGTGGCGGAGTAAAGGTTATTTGAATTGTATTTGTAAAGGGAAAAGGGTTATCTAGAGTGTCAAGTACTGTGAATTTTAGTTGAGTTGAATCTCAAGATTGCATCATTTGAAGTTTAGTTATGAGATATGGTCTGTAAATAATATACCAATTGTAAACGTAGTTTTATATTAAAAATAATAATACACCAACTATAAACATAGTAAGATGCCAATCAGTACAAATTGTCCTGAGAGTATTTAAAGTTCTTTTTTTGAATATGAAATGTTAAACCATATGCTTGCAAATGCATATACTTGAGTGCTACTGATATGTGCCTGTGGGACCTACCCGTATGTGTTTTTACCTCTGCTGAATCTAAGAGGTTTCTTGCTTACCTTTTTTCTTGTTGGGAATTCCAGATATAGTTTTAATCTTATTGACATTGGTTATATATTGTTGTTCTAGGGCCTCGTACTAACATTGCTAGGGATGTCATGTCCTTTCCCTGGATGTCTTCTGTCACAAACCAGTAGATTTCTTTATGCTTCTCAGCTTTGCCACGATGTGGTCTAAGTACCTGATCTATGCTGTTATTTCAGTTGTGTTAATAACTTATTGATATCTGTGCAGGTACATTGAGTTTTATGATGCAATGTCAGTGCCAATGGCTATTGCTTTATCCGGTCGCTTGCTTTTTGGCCAACCAGTCATGGTAAAACCTTCTGAAGCTGAAAAAAACCTTGTTCAGTCAACTGCGTCTGGTGGTGGATCAGGGTTGGCAGGGCCAAATGCTGCCTCAGAGAGAAAACTTTATGTGGGAAATCTCCATTTCAACATGACAGAGTTACAGCTTAGACAGGTAACAAGATTGACGTCTTTATCTGCGTACAGTAACAAAAGCACTAGGATAGACACTTGTTATATGCAATGCATAATGGTGGAGGCTTAAATGCGCATATTCTGTGATGTTGATCTACCTTAACTTGTAGAATAACTGTCAAGACATCTTAGGGCTCTTTGCTTCTTATAAATGATAAATTAAGTATCTGGTACAGACACCGATGTATGCGTTACTTTGTTTTTTTTAGTTGGGTATGCGTTACCTTGTTTTTTTTAGTTGGGTATGCGTTACTTTGTTTTTTCAGCATGTATGATTGACTTTTCCGATGTCCTGAGACCGATCTCTGACTAAGCTTTTATTCTGTTTCTAATTGTATTCCATTATGTCTGGTGTGTTCAGATTTTTGAAGCCTTTGGGCCCGTGGAGCTTGTGCAATTACCTACAGATCCTGAAACAGGGCATTGTAAGGGTTTTGGATTTGTCCAAGTAAGTATTTAGCAGAATGCAATGTTTCTCTTCAATATATTTATCGTTATTTTATTTCATTTAATAACGCCTTTATGTTTCAACTTGGGTTCATCTTAGTTTGCTCAACTCGAACATGCAAAGGCAGCTCAAAGCTTGAATGGCAAGCTTGAAATTGCGGGTCGCACCATCAAGGTATGTCTCTGTAGACCTTGCTTCTTTAAATACTGTTGGATGGCAGTATTACGGAGCCTTGACTAGCCTTTTTGGTTCAATGCAGGTTTCATCCGTTACTGAACATGTCGGAGTACAAGATGCTGGAGCTAAAACTGCAGATTTTGATGATGATGAAGGAGGTGGCTTGGTGAGTATGCTCTTAAATCATTATATTGGAGGACTTTGCATGCCATCTTTTCCCTCAAGTAGGTTAGATACTTCGGAAATTATGAGTATGATAGTGGTGGTAAAAGGCCGATCCATATGTTCTCATTTGACAGGCTACCTGTTAGACATAACCAGAGAAAAGTGATGTTCTAGTTTACTGCATTATCATTATAGCTTCTAGTCTCTCTCTCTCTCTCTCACGGCCGATCCATGTGTTCTCATTTGACAGGAGCTTTCTGTTAGACATAACCGGAGAAAAGTGATGTGCTAGTTTACTGCATTATCATTATAGCTTCTAGTCTCTCTCTCTCTCTCTCTCTCTCTCTCTCTCTCTCTCTCTCTCTCTCTCTTTCTTTTTTTCGGGGGGGGGGGGTGCGGGGGAGGAGAAGCTGGCAGTTGTACAAGTCAAAACCCTGGAAGGTTTTAACAGGACCAGCCACTCCTATGTTATTGAAATATTTGAGTTCTTCGATTGTTTTCGGTGGAAATGTAAAAGAAAACCGAATCAAACCAAAGTAAACCGACATAATATCCGACACTCTTTTGACTCGGTTTGGTTTTCAATTAAAAATCGACAACATTTGGTTTGGTTAAGTATTCATGGAAAGAGCATAACCAAACCGAGTATTATAAATATATTATTTATTAAATTTTTATGGTGATAAATATTTGTTTTATAAATCTACTTTATATATTTTTAACCAAAAAAGTTGTATAGACATACTCATGGTGTGCTTTGTAGAGTTTTCATATCAGTCTATATATTATAGTTATTTAAGAATGATTTATTTACTGTCTTAATCATTAAGATTAGATAGATTTGGAAACATTTATGGATGCAAGGTTGTTTTTTGATCTACGAAAGTGAATAATTGTCATGTCTCTTGGTGGAATTTCTCACATCTAGATGCTTTAATACATAATAGGTTTATCCTTTTGTTCAATTCTTGCTAAGCATATACCGACGTATTAGAAATTGTGTCTTTAGCTCTAGTAACAATGAAATGAATTTGTATTTCATGTGAAAATAAACAGAAAACCCAACTAAACCGAAAAAGCGACTATTTGTTTTGGTTAGTTCTATATTTAACAAATTGATGTAGTTGGTTTTGGTTTCCGTTTAGATGAAAACCGAACCAAATTGAAACTGAACCATGAACACGCCCTACTGAGCATAACACTGAAGGTCAATGTTGAAAAGATTATAACATGGAGCCATTATCAAGGCTAGGACGTTGTGCTTTGACTTCCTTTATTCATTTGGTTTATGTTGTTTCCATTGAGTGATATCATATTCTCCTAGGAAAATTCTTTTTTTTGTGTTGGAATATTGTAAAGCAGAATTCTGTGCGAGTGTTATTTCTTGTTTTTTACATACTCTAGGAAACAATATATTAGCTGTTCCTGAATTTTTTTAGTTCTTAAAGAAACTATTCTTGCTGAACTATTTAGAAGAAGCTCTTTTCATTTTGGGATGTTGGAAAGCGTTTGGCATCGGCATCGGCGTTCTAGAGAGTTCATATTTTTTACTATTTGAATTTTAAACGTTGATGTGATGTTTGCAATACCAAACTGACTTTTGATCGTCATTTTTATATTCTTATGCTACCTCTAGTGTAATATGCACGAGTCAAATTAATATTTTATAATGTCTAGTCAAATACTATCATATAAAAGTACAATAGAAATCCTCAGGGGTTGGCCTGGTGGCAATTGACTTGAGCCTTGGGTTGCTCCCTTTCAAGGTCTCAAGTTCGAAACCCACTGGGTGCAAACAATTTCTGAGGGCCATCGGACTGGGTAAAACCTGAATTAACCGTGGTGCACTTGCGGGAAACTCCTTGCCGAGGGCCTGTGCACCCCCGGGATTAGTCGGGGCTCTAAGAGACTCGGACACCCGGTGCAAATAAAAAAAAAGTACAATAGAGGAAGTGCTATATAAGCTCTTCAACATTATGCATGATATAGTTTTTGTGACCAGAAGTTTGTGTTGAGCATGTGCAAAAGCTGAACGATTTATGATATGGGATCACTCTTCATTCTTTCTAATACCGCTGTGTAAAACAAAATTAGGTTACCTAAGTGCACACTCGGCAAATACTCCCTTTCAGCTAGTTGATCCCATTTTTGACTAAAAACCACCCCCAAAGCAGCTCAGTAGCAGTGATCTGATTTGATCCATCCTAGGAAGTAGAAGTATTAGAAAGCTGAACTTGTATTTCTTTAGGCTAATTCATTCTGAAGCTTCTCAGGAAGCAATAGGCTCATTTTGTTCATAACACGATAACTAATGGGAAGTCTTCCTTTCCTCTTTCTTTCTCTTTAAATTGACGAAAATTTGTATTTTATTTTTTCTTCTTCTTTTTGGTAAATCTGAATATACTTGCAAATTAGTAATCTGATGAATTCATTCTCTCTGATATTATATAGACAGAGAAGGGAAAGAACTGTCAGAAGAAAACTTTAGGTTGCTAATTGTTGCCAGCTCTATTATTAAATGCATAACTCATATGAATCATTTGTCTACATTCCAGGCATTAAATGCTCAGTCAAGGGCCATGCTTATGGCAAAGTTGGACCGCAGCGGTGTTGCTTCAAGGTTTGTCCAGATTTCTCCTGCTCTTTGGGGAGTTCTTGTCATTCCCCCCTTTTCCCCCGGGGGGGGAGGGGGGGTTGTTTGTTGTAGCCATGTTTCATGTCCCAAACTTAATGCTCAAATTTTCCTCTACAGTGTGGCGGGTACCCTTGGAGTTCCTGCACTTAATGGAGCAGCTCCAGCTCAGATGAGCATGCCCCCCATAGGTGGGGCAACAGCTTTTCCGAATATGCTCGCAACGCAAGTCATTGCTGCCATGGCTCCTGAACCCATTGGAATTCCCAGCGAGTGTTTGTTATTAAAAAATATGTTTGATCCTGCAACCGAGGTTCGTGTCCCCGTAGAATTTCATATTTAACAGTACATTTTTGACCATCAAGGCTAGGGAGGTGCATATCTTATTCTCTATTTTTTTTTCAATAATATTAATCTTTCTAGTATGTGCTGCAGACGGATCCAGAATTTGATTTGGATATCAAAGATGATGTAAAGGAGGAGTGTTCCAAGTATGGCAGGGTCAAGCACATCCATGTGGACAAGTATGTGGTTAATTTATTTGGTGTCAAATTTTGAGCTCTTTTGACTTGTAAAATGCATTGATACCTTTGCCTGGCACTTCCTCTAGTTTGGTTTGTGAGAATTTCTGGGTAGGTTTTTCCTTTTGCTCTTCTTGGCAGCACAGAGATGCTGTCCCAGTTGCTTTTGGTTTTAAAAAGAACAAGGAAAAGACCAAAGTCGCTTTTGGCAGTCAAGCTAAACTACGCCATGTTCTGGTCCCTCTGATAAGGCTTCAAATATGATTGTGAAATGACCTATTGATTTAAAAGTGGCCTGTGCTTCATTCCTGTTAGACAAATCTCTCTCAAATACCATCCTCTAATAAACAGCTATTCCAGTTGGCTGCTTACTATTAAATTAACGATATTTTTTTCAGCTGTTGATTCTTGAAGTATCTTTTGGCAGGAATAGCTCCGGTTACGTATACTTGCGGTTTGATAGCGTCGAAGGTGCATCTCGTGCTCAACAAGCTATGCACAAGAGATGGTTTGCAGGCAGATCGATTTCAGCCATCTTCTTGGTAAATGTCTTGAGTTCTCCAAGCATTTTTGTGTCCTTATCTCTTTCTTCCAATGGATAAACGGTTCATGAATTTTTTTTTGTGGGGTTGGGTTGGGTTGGGTTGGCTGAACGCTTCCCTGAAGCATGAATATGCCTACCAGAACTTGTTAATTCCCTGGAGCATAACAAATCATTTCTTCTTTTCGCTCACCCTTTTCTCCCTATATAAGATGGGGTAAAGTGTTTTTAGTTATATATGTTATATGACGTTTTTTTGCCTAGCTCTTGTTTAAGTTCTGGCTGAGCTTTTCCTTACATGAAACACAGTTTGATTTTCTGAATGTATTTTTCCTGTTCTTGCAGCAACCTTATGAATATGATGCGAAGTTCAAAGGTACAGGCTGAAAGGTTTCAGACGGGGGGCTATCTATGATCTCTGAAGACTACTGATTTGTTTATTAGTAATTGCAAAAACTGCAGCCTGATTTTGTATTTAATTTCATATCTTAGTGATACCAAAAACTACTAAACGGTACTGTATAAGCCGACATATGAGGTTATAGATGTGAGCTTTTGGCCAATATTGTCCCTTATCTTTGAGGGTAGATCTATTTTGGTCCCTTAAATATAATCGTGAGCATATTCAGTCCCTTAAGTATGTTAAAGTGGAGCACCTTTAGTCTCAATGATAGAACCTTTAGTCTCAATGATAGAATCTGTCGAAGATCAGTTACGGGGTTGTTTTCGGCACAGTGTCTTTTTAATTTGCTTATCAAAAATATTTTATAAACCAACACTCACTAATTTGGGCTGATAAATTTAAGATTTTAATGTTCGAACTTTTACTTCTAAAATTTCGGTTGATTTTCCCAAAAAGAAAAGTTAAAATTTGAAAAAATAGAGCTGCCAAGATCACTTCTAGGCATATTATTGAAGCAAACGGATAAATAGAATGTGTTATCAGTTTTTGCCCGTGTTAGAAATTATTTACATCTGGTAGCCGAAAAAGAAAATAAAATTTGTATAATTTTTGAATATAAACATACAAATGTGTGTGTGTGTGTGTGTATATATACACATACACAAAATAATATACAAATTTTATACATTTTATCGGCTATTATTTTTATAGCGGCTATACAGTGTCATTTTTCTGATTGAACTTTTTTTAGAAGATATTATCTAAAAATGAGGAATTGAAGTGATAATTTGTGTTATCCAATAAAGGAAGAGGAAACGTTTTGCTTCAGAGCAGAAGATTTGCTTCATGAATCAGAGTTGGTTAACACCGTTAGTCTTTGAATATATTCTATTAGTGAGACTAAAGGTGCTCCACTTTAGCTTACTTAATGGACTAAATATGTTAAGGGTTATATTTGAGGGATCAAAATAGATTTACCCTAAAAGATAAGAGACAATATTCGTCAAAAATTCTTATAGATGTTATTGAGGGAGAGTTCTGTAATTTAACAGAGTATTCTCATTTTTGTTAACAATTATACTTGGGGGCTGGGGCCCTATCTTCTTTTCAATTAACGGAGGTCTGAATCAATGTTTCAGAGTAACTCATTGTGTGTTTTCTTTATAAAATTATTTGATTTTGATTCATTCATATCTTTTTACATTCCTTAATGTATGTTAATTTGTAAAATCATTAGAATGTTTACTTCGTTATAAATAGAATTTTATTTATGGTGAATGTCTATATTTAGAGAGATTCTAGGGTTCATTGCTTGGTGGCTAAGTCACCCTCTCCCTATAAATAGAGGGTTCTATTCTATTGTAATTCATCCCAAAATCAATAAGAATTCTCTCTCTCTACTTTTCTCTATAATACTCTTCTTCTTCTTTTATTGTTTCATAACACGTTATCAGTACGAGACTCTAACCAATTGAGTAGAAGCTTTGGGATTGAGCATAATGATTGTCAATTGTTCCATGTACTTTATTCATGATTAAATTCTGGATTTGAGGTAAGTATTTTACCGTATTTTTCTCTTTTATTCTATGCTTTGATTTTAAATACAAGCAAAGACAACAAGTTTGATTATAACTCTAATGGAGTTTGTAAGAAATTATAACCACCTGAAGTGGTAAAATTTCTATGTCTTGCCATGATCAAAGTCATGTATGATCGTGAGCAGAAGAAGTGAAAACCCGTCTCATTGAATTTGCTCCATTCTCATTCCCTTAAGAGAATGTGATAGCAATATGTGATAAGTCTGAAAGAAGACAAAATTATTACCGTGAAGGTATCAATGGATGTGGACGTGGCAATAGACGAAATTATAATCGTCATCATTGTGATAATGAGAATAATAAGGATTCTCAAAATAAGCCTTCACTCTGTGAAATTGATGTTTGTCATCGATTTGACATAAGATTTCGTAAAGCACATACAGATGACTATGGTCCATTCATGATGTGAATGTGAAAACATCTGATTTATGAATACATATTCATTCTTGGAAGAATATGACTGTGCTACAGTGGTAGTGAATATACCACACTCACCTCTAAAAGGAGGTTTGAGATGATATAAGAAAACATTGTCATTATTATGGCATGAATGGTCATTGGTCAAGTACCTATTGTACGCCAAAATATTTTGGCACTGTGATTATTAAAAGACAACAGTAATGCAAGAAACAGATCTTGCATATAATTTTGACCATAACCATAATGGTATAACTTTCTTTTTAAAAGAGATATTCACCATATAGATGTTGATTAATATGTGGTAGTACCAAATTAATTGAGAGATCTGGAAGAGCCAATTATACTATTTTGGAGAAAATTGATTATCAATAAGACGTTGTGTTGTAGTAAGTCTCAAAGAAACTTATTCAGTTTCCAAAGTATACGCGAAAGCGATTGATTATATTGAGATTATAAATAAAGGAAAGATTTAATATCTTCTATTACTACAACTTGTAGCGGGGTAATATGTATGTGAAAAGCTACCCGCTTTATTCTCCAATTTGTACTACACAAATAAAAGAATGCCACAATAAAGAAGTTTATTGATATAAAAACCCATATCATAATAAACTTGGAGTTTATTGATAATTGCACACGTCATGGTGTAAATCTGAAGTTTATCAATATTGATAATTTATTCAATTGGCATAATTGGTTTACCCATATCAATTTAAGTATGATGTGCAAAAATAAAAGAGAATTCACATGGGTAAATATTAAAGAACTAGAAAGTTCTTTAAGAATTCTCTTATGTTGCATGTTCTCATTAATTAATAGATACCAACTAAAATTGGGATTGAATCCCATGAATACTGGAAATATCAAAGGTGAATATTGGCCCATTCACCTGCCATGTATACCACATAAGATGCATCTATGAGATGGTTGCATGTGCGATTATTATTAACCCGCAACATGGTGTTTGCGAGGTGACTTGCTCAATAATTTGATTTAGAGCATAATTTACAGATTTTCTATTCAAGAAGTTCATCTTGATAAGTTGGTTTACATCACAGTTGATTTAGCAAAATAATTTATTGAGTGCCTCCACTTAATAGCTAAACTATTGCTTATGAGAACAAAGTTATCTATATCAGTTTGATATACGTCCATATACGAAAGTATATTATTTTCTCCCCTCACAAGTGGTTCATGGTCAGGAACCAAATAATTCCATATTATTATTATTGATTTGCGGTGTATATTTTGATTAACACCATAAAGCACAAAGATGAGTTCTCAAAGTTGAGGAAACAAGTTAGTTTTTCTAACATGAGGGGGAGACATGATAAACAATTGAGAAAAAGTTACGTGGAATGAATTATCATTTGTTCATATAGATCCTCGAATAAGATAATATGAACTTGAAGTTCATAAAAAGATAATTCATGTGCAATATATTGCAAAGCATGCCAGACGCATTTGCTGACCCAAAGAAAGTAACTATATTCTCATTGCAAATGCTCATATTAAGTCCTAGAAGGACAAAGTCTACGGTACGCTTATAGCATACAGACAAATCGGTTTCAAATAAAACTTCTTGATAAAGAAGATGAGCAAATGATCAAAATGATCATAATAAAGGAGGCAAGTGATCTAGAAGATCACATGACATAACACTTCATAAAATCTCATGAGAGATTCAGGTACCTGAATATATGAATGAAGAGATCTCTATGTTATGTCTTTATGAAGAAAAAAAAGAAGGTTGGAACCAATATAAAATATTCGTTGACGACATCTATGATACCGCTAAATATATATATGAGGATCTTAAGTTTGGAGAAACAATTTCGAATAGAATTGGTTTCATACGAAAGACATGTAGTTTTGAACATGTAGTTCAAATACTTGAAAGTATAAGTCAATGGTATGTGCAATCAGTTTTCGATATATGTCTAGCATGACATGAAAACTTGATATGCATCTAAAATCTATTATATGGCTTATATAACTTAACAATCCTTGAAGGATTTAAATTGCTTAAAGCATATAGAATTCATGGTCATGAAGTACTACATCCTCAATGCAATTTGTGCACAAATGTATCTTGCTATAACTATATGCATGATAATATGATAGCAAGAGTTTTCACCTCTATGCGAAGATATTGAACTGACGATTCCAACAAGATCATATGAAGACAATTCATCTCTATCAAGAATGATGATTTCAAGGTGCAATATATTCATTCAAGTTAATATGGCTGATTTGTTTATCAAATATCTACCAAAGATCTTTTGAATATGGTGCACAAGATTGTAATGCAAATGCTTAAGGATGTCAAGTGATGCTCTCATGAGGGGGAGTTAATACGCGTTGTACTCTTTTTCCCTTACAAGGTTTTGTCCCACTGGGTTTTCCTTGCAAGGTTTTTAATGAGGCAACCAAAAGGCGTATTGTAGATATGTGTACTCTTTTTCCTTCTCTAGAGTTTTTCTCCCACTGGATTTTATTTTAGTTAAGGTTTTAACGAGGCACATTATCTGTTGAATAGACATTCAAGGGGGAGTGTTATAAATAGAATTTTATTTATGGTGAATGTCTATATTTAGAGAGATTCTAGGGTTAAGTCACCCTCTCCCTATAAATAGAGGGTTCTATTCTATTGTAATTCATCCCAAAATCAATAAGAATTCTCTCTCTACTTTTCTCTGCAATACTCTTCTTCTTTTATTGTTTCATAACATACTTACAGATTTTAATCTTAAAAGGCAAGAAGGCCTGACTGCTTCCTAATTTTGCGCCGATTTTAAGGCCGGCCACCAAACTCAGATTTCCCTTTTTGACATCTTCAACGTAACGCCCTTATTAACGTCGATATATCTGTTTTCATAACTTAACCTGCTTCTCGTGTTTTTCCATCCAACTTTTCCAATTGTACTACTTTTTTCTACTTCAAATGATGTTGGTTGTGAGTAGGGCTGGCAAAAATGGTTAAAAAATAATAATTGTTCACCCATGTTATTTATTAAAATATAGGTTGGATAATGAATTTTTTAAGAACCGGTCAAATATGGATAAGAATCATATTATCTACTTAGAAAATAGATAACTAATAGGTTTATCTTTTACGTTTGTAAAACCTCAAATTGGGGTTTCTCAAGTTTGGGAGACTAGTAATTCTCCTAAAATTGATCATATTCAAGAAACCATGTATAATTTATCCGATGGTTAACCTATTTTTTTTATCCATATTAAATAT